GCAAGTACCGCCTCGGCCACACGTCTTTAGCGTCAGTCACAGAGCAATACCTGCCACCATCAGCTGCCCAATCAACCAATCAATCTTGGGTAAATCTTGGGAGCCTTTTCGGGGACTCCTGCATGGCGCCCTGGGCCGTCCTCGGATGGGGCAGTCTGGCGCGTTCCGCGGTCGCCTTGGGGATCTCTCGGCAGTCTTGGGGCCCTCTTGGGGCCCTCAGCGGCTACCGCGGGTTCGTGTCGTGTCCACCCTGGCGTTGAGCTGCACGACCTTGCACGATCGGCCGTTTCAGGAACGTCGAATCGTTCAACATCGACGGATTCTGAATCGCCAGCGGCGTTCAACGTTGAAATTGAGCGCCCGAGTTATCTGTGGTAACTCGGGCTCGGAGTAACTCGGGCTTGGATTCCCCGAAAACGAACCCAAGTTAGCCCTGACCTGGGTCACCCCTGATGATTCGAGGCTCTGGACGCTCGGGTTATCCGGGGTAACTCGGGCCCGGGGTAACCCGGGCTTGGATTCCCGAAAAACGAAGCCGAGTTAGCCCTGATGTCACCGAGTTACCCCTGATGGTTCGGAGCTCTGGACGCCCGAAAACTCTCGGGAAACTCGAACCCAGGGTAACTCGGGTTTGGATTACGTGCCCGAGTTTGCCCTAACCCGAGTTACCCATGATGATTCGGGGCTCTGGACGCCCGAGTTATGCGGGATAACTCGACCCTGGGGCAACTCGGGCTTGGATTCCCGAAAAGCGAACCCCAGCTAGCCCTGACCCGAGTTTCCCCTGATGATTCGGGGCTCTGGACGCCCGAGTTATCTGGGGTAACTCGGGCACAGGGTAACTCGAGGATGGATTCCCGAAAATTCTGACCCAGGTTACCCCTGATGGTTCCGGACTCTGGACGCCCGAGTTATCCGGGGTAACTCGGGCCCAGGGTAGCTCGGGCTTGGATTCCCGAAAAACGAACCCGAGTTAGCCTGGACCCGGGTTACCCCTGATGATTCGGGGCTCTGGGCGCCCGAGTTATCCGTGGAAAACTCAGGGCCGGGTTTGGATTCCCAGAAAACGAACCCGAAGTAGTCATGACCCGAGTCACCCCTGATGAATGATTCGGGGCTCTGGACGCCCAGGTTATCCAGGGTTACTCGTGCCCGGAGTAACTCGGGTCTGGGTTCCTGGAAACCGAACCCGAATTAGCCCTGACCCGAGTCACCCCTGATGTTTCGAAGTTCTGGACGCCCGAGTTATTCGGGGTAACTCGGACCAGGGGTAACTCGGGTGTGGGTTCCCGAAAAGCGAACCCGAGTTAGCCTGGACCCGAGTTACCCCTGATGATTCGGGGCTCTGGACGCCCGAGTTATCCTGGGTATTTCGGGCGCGGAGTAACTCGGGTGTGAATTCCCGAAAAGCGAACCTTGCCTAGCCCTGACCAGAGTCACCCCTGATGATTCGGGGCTCTGGACGCCCGAGTTATCTGGGTAACTCGGGCCCGGGGGCAGCTCGGGCTGGGATTACGAACCCGAAAAACTCTGACCCGATGTACCCCTGATGGTTCGGGGCTCTGGACGCCCAAGTTATCCGGGGTAACTCGGCCCGGGGCAACTTGGGTTTGGATTCCCGGACAGCGAACCCGAGTTAGCTCTGACCTGAATTGCCCCTGATGGTTCGGGGCTCTGGACGCCCGAGTTATCCAGGGTGACTTGGACCAGGGGTAACTCGGGTGTGGGTTTCCGAAAATCGAACCCGAGTTAGCCCGGACCCGAATTACCCCTGATGATTCGGGGCCATGGGCCCCCGGGTTTTCCGGGGAAACTCTGGCCCAGGGTAACTCGAGGATGGATTCCCGAAAAACGAACACGAGTTAGCCCTGACCCGGGTTTCCCCTGATGATTCGGGGCTCTGGACGGCCGAGGTATCCTGGATAACTCGGGCACGGGATATTTCGAGTTTGGATTCCCGACGATCCAGTTAGCCCTGACCCGAGGTTCACCTGATGATTCGGGGCCCTGGACGCCCGAGTTATACGGGGTAACTCGGGCACGGGGTAACTCGGGTTTGGATTCCTGAGGAACGATCCATGACCCGAGTTAACCCTGATGATTCGGGGCTCTGGACGCCCGAGCTCTCCGGGGTAACTCGGGCCCGGGGCGATTCGCGGTTTGGATTCCCCAAAAACGGACCCGAAGTAGCCCTGACCCGAGTTACCCCTGATGATTCGGGGCTCTGGACGCCCGGGCTATCCGGGGTAACTCGGGCCCAGGGGTAACTCGGGTGTGGATTCCCGAAAAACGAACCCGAGCTAGCCCTGACCCGAGTTACCCCTGATGACTCGGTCGGGGCTCTGATGAAAGCCGGCGGCGGGGTCGCCGCCGGTCGACACGACGCGAACATACCGTACACCTCGGGGGCCACTTGGTCTTTCGAGAGGGCCGGGCTGGCATCTTCGGAAGCCCCCCGCCCGCCGACCGCGCCATCCTCAGGTCGAGCGCGTCCCCCCTACAGGCAGATTATGGAAGAATGGAACATGGCCAAACAGTGATCCAACATACCAAGGAACATCTCCAGACGATGTTTGGACTAGTGTTGGATATTCCCCCCCTGTGGAGGGACATGGCCAAACCATGATCCGACATACCAAGGAACATCTCCAGACGATGCTTGGACTAGTGTTGGATACTCCCCCCCTGGTGGAGGGACGTGGCCAAACCATGATCCGACATACCAAGGAACATCTCTAGACGATGCTTGGACTAGTGCTGGATATTCTCCCCCTGGTGGAGGGACATGGCCAAACCATGATCCGACATACCAAGGAACATCTCCAGACGATGCTTGGACCAGTGTTGGATATTCCCCCCCTGGTGGAGGGACATGGCCAAACCATGATCCACCATACCAAGGAACATCTCCAGACGATGCTTGGACTAGTGTTGGATATACTCTCCCCCTGTGGAGGGACATGGCCAAACCATGATCCGACATACCAAGGAACATCTCCAGACGATGCTTGGACTAGTGTTGGATATACTCTCCCCCTGTGGAGGGACATGGCCAAACCATGATCAGACATACCAAGGAACATCTCCAGACGATGCTTGGACTAGTGCTGGATATTCCCCCCCTGGTGGAGGGACGTGCACGACTTACCCTCCTCGCTTCTGCGCGCCGCCCCAGGGCCTGACGAGCGCCCGGTGCCCCCGGCGCTCCAGGGCGGCCGCCAGCGCGTCGGTGGCGGGCGCCGCCTCCAGGCCGGCGAGGGTCGCCTGCGAGGCATGCCCGCGCGGCTGCCCCCCAGACACGCTCGCGGCGCATGTCTGACGGCAGCGTATAGGGGGCCACATGCGAGCCCTACCCCTACCCCCTACGATTTCTGAGGGGGAGGGTGGGGTTCACTCCGTTCGGGACCTCCCGAGCGAAGTGAACCCCACCCTACCCCCAGAAATCGTGGGGGGTAGGGGTAGGGTTCGCATGTGGCCTCCTAGTGTGTGCGCACATCGGGGCGCTGTGCAGAAGGCGTGAAACAGAACTGGGGGCTGCACTCTGGGATTGCCTCCTCCTCTAGAGGGAGAGAAACCCACATAAACATCAACTGTTGGAGGTCCGCGCGGATTTCTTGAATCCGCGCTGGACCCCCCTCCCCAGTGCGCGGAACGCGCCAGGGGCGGCGCCGGAGGCGCCGCCAGGGGGGGGCCCAGCGGCAATCCAAGAAATCCGCGCGGAGCGCCAAACGTTCATGTTTATGGCCTTTGTTTCACAGGGCTGAACCTGAACGGTGCGTTCGTTTTCGTTTCGCTTTCGATGTTTCCTATTTTTGTCTTGAATTCGCCTTTGCTGCAGAACGACATCGAAACGAAAACGGCCAAAACAATCGCCAAGACACCGCTTAAGTCCACCCCTGTTTGCTGCTTCGATCCTCGCTGCCTCCGTTTGGGCGGCGATCGGCGGCACCGGGCCCGTGCACCCCGGCCTTCCTCGGGCCGCTGGGCCTCGCTTTTGTCTTGCCGGCTCGTCGGCGGCCAGGCTCGCGCGGCATCCAAAAGTCCGCCGAGATTGTCGGCGTGTATGAGGGGCTTCTCCGTTGGAATCGTCGTCGTCGTCGACATCGTCGACGTCGTCGTCGACGTCGTCGTCGTCTTCGTCGTCGTCGTCGACGTCGTCGTCGTCGCCGTCGCCACTCCACTCCTGTCCGTGGGTCCTCCTCCTAAAGCGTTCCAGCCAGAGGGATCTCGAGCAACGTCGCAATCGAGTCGAAGGGAAGTCCCTTACCTTTGATCCCTTCCCCGCTTGGGGGGGGGGAGTGGAAGGGGGGGGGATCCTGGAAGGGTTTCCCAGGGGGCCTCCCGGGGGTTATGCACCCCTGCTCCTCTGGGGGGAGCAGCCCTTCCTGAGAAAGGCTTCCCCTGCGATTTCTTGCCTCCCAGACGCCCCGAGCTCATTTGTACAGCGGCTTCCTGCCAGAGGGCCCCGAAACAGCCCAAGATCGCTCCAGTAAGATCCCCCTCAAGACGGCCTCGGGAATCCCCAAGACGCCCCAAGAGGGCTACAAGAGGAGCCCCAAGAGTAGCCCCAAGAGTGCCCCAAGACAAAAAAATCATTGATTTCCCAAATAAGTGTTTCAATGCTGTTCCCGTCCTCGTCTTCCTGGGCCTCCGACGCCCTAGGATGGTCCAGGAAGCCCCCACACATCGCCCCAAGACGACCCAACAAGCTGCCAAAAGCACCCCCAAACTGCCCAAGACGGCCCCAAGATGGCCCAAGATAGCCCCAAGACGGCCCAAGAGACCCCCAAGACGGCCGAAGAGGGCCCCTAAGAGGCTCCCGAAAAGGGCAACGCCTACCGACATTTCGAGCCTTCCGCTCAAAGAGACTCCCAGGCAGCCCCAAGAGGCGCAAAGAAGCCCCCAAGAGGCTCCCAAGAGGCCCAAGAAAGCTTCAAGAGCACCCTCAAGAGAACCCCAAGAGGGCAAAACCAATGATGTTCCTTCAATGTTTGTAACCCTCATAAGAAAGCTCCAAGAACACTTCCCACATAATCCGAAGAGTGCAAAATCAACGATCGTCGTCGCCGTGCTCGTCGTGGTCATGGTCGTGGTCGTGGTCGTCGTGGTCGTGGTCGTGGTCGTGGTCGTGGTCGTCGTGGTCGTGGTCGTGGTGGTCGTGGTCGTGGTCGTGGTCGTGGTCGTGGTCGTTGTCGTCGTCCTCCAGGCTCGGCGGCACCGGCCGTAAGGCCTTCGCAAGAGACGAGACGCTCTTGGCAATGCTTCTGGCCTCCAGAGGCCCTCGCCGGGCTCCGGGACCGTCGAAAAACGAGTCGCGATGAAAAAACTGCCCTTTGGGACAGGGTCGGGACTTCTCGGGACCTCGCAATGGAAAAGTCCAGGCATCGCATGTCTGGGCCCGTTGAGCGGGCCAGCCTCAAGACTTGGAAGGCAATCCCTGAGAGGTCGCGAGAGCGATGAGAGGCTATCAGGCCCGATTGAGGGGCCATTCGGCCAGACCGAGCAAGAGTGAGCCTTGGATTGAGCCAGACGAAGCGGAATTAGGCTGGATTAGCAGGAAAGTTAATGCCAGCTGTTCGACCAGGGATCTAGAGCCGATGCTGAATTGAACCTCCCAGGAGCTGCATCCTGGGGCGAGGGAAGCCCAGCATCCCTGGCACTTGGAACGCGTGGTCGCGCTCGCCACAAGACAATCATCATCCTTGTCCACCCCTCCATCTGCTCCTCCCCCTCCTCGTCCTCTTCCTCCTCCTCCTCCTCCTCCTCCCTCCTCCTCCCCCTCCCCCTCCTCCTCCTCCTCCTCCTCCTCCTCCTCCTCCTCCTCCTCCTGCTCCTCCTCCTCCTCCCTCTCTTGTCGGTTCCGTGCGCACGCGTTAACGAGGCAGTTGGCCGGCCAAGGGTCGCCTCCAGCTCGCCAGCGCCCTGGAGCCCGCCAGCGTCGAGCACGAAGGCCACGATCACGGGCCCGCGCTCCTCGCCGAGGGCCCCCGCCGAGGAGGCCGACGCGGCCGCGTCCTCGATCTCCGCGACCCCGCTTACGGCGAGGCTGCTGAGGTCACCTACCTTCGGTGGCAACTCATGTGAGCCTCCCGTGCCATCTTGCTGCATCTTGCAAATCGACGCTGCTCGACGCTACATCGGCGACTTCCCATCGATTACCAGACGCTAGCGTACGCGAGTGCACTCTGAAGAATTTGCTACCGAAACCCACCTGCAGGACTTCGTCGCCGCCGCCGCGCGCGGTGCCGTTGCCCGGCGCATCCGCAGGGAAGCCGCTCAGACCGTCCGTCTGCGCGGAGCCGTCGAGCGGCGCCTCCGCCAGGCGCCGCGCGGCCTGCAGGAGAAGAAAGAACGCAACGAGTATGAACTTTCGAAGCTCTGCGCGGGACCCCCCTCCCTGGCGCGCTCCGCCCAGCGCAGATCCAAGAGATCCGCGCGAAGCTCCGAAAGTTTATGTGAATGCAACTGCTTCTTCTTCGAGGCCTGCCCCCACATGCTGACGGACACGCGCGAACTCGCGACGCCCAGCAGGTCGGCCACGAGCTCGAGCAGGGCGGCGCCCACCACCGGGTCGTTGATGAAGTCACCGGGATGGTTGGTCTGGATCAGCAGAAACCCGGACACCTCCCCGCGAGACTGCTGGCCGCCGCGGGGCGCTGCCGTGGAGCCCACGTCCTCGATCTCCGCGATGTCGTCCGCGGCGAAGACGCTCAGGTCGCCTGCCTGCGTGATGGTGTCGTTTCCGCCGTGCACAGTGCCGCCGCCTGGCGAAACCGCGGGCAAGCCGCTCAGACCGTCCGCCAGTGTGGCGGCGCCAGGGCCGTCGTGCGTGGCGTTGTTGCCCCGTGTGTCCTCTGGGGGCGGCTTCGGCTCGTGTTCCTCCTGCGACCCCAGGGGCTGCTGAAAGTCCGCAGGTGGTCGCGAGGCATTCGCCCCGCCTATGAGCGCGGGAAAAATGGGCTGCATGATCATTCGCTTCGCCGGGGCCCCTGTGGTCCCAGTGGTCGTGACCCCGACGGGTGCGGCTCCATCTCCTGCGAATCCCGACGATGCGTTTGCTGCTAGAGAAGCCGAAGCACTTGGTGAGCTGGGCATCAGCCCAGTGGCCTCCAGGGTGGTCGGCTTCGAGTCCATGCGCCAATAATGGTCCCAGCAGCGGTTGCCATGAAAACTGCATTTCCCGGCGCCGAACAGCACGCAGGCTCCGATGTGGCCAGAATTCGAGTCGCTGCAAGTGTTTGTCGTCTTAAAGCCGAAGCCCTTGCAAGAAGAAGCGTGCATGTCGCACAGCGCCGCGCACTGACTGGAATCCGCGGCGGTGGTGGTGCCCCCGAGCTGGATGCTCTGCCAGTTCGCGCAACCCATCTGCTCAGTTCGCTTCCAATGGTCATCCAACTTTCGTACGACCGCGACCTCGACGCCAGACGTCGTCATCTCGTAGCGATCGTAGCAGCCGTTCGAGTCCTCCTTGCACTCTCCGAACCACAGTAGGCACGCGCCGGTGCCTGAACCAGAGTTGCGAGGGCAATGCTGGTCGCTCAACTTCTGGAACTCGAAGCCCACACAACCTTGATGCGCCTTGCAATACTCTCCGCAACTGTCCGCGCTGCCCGAGTGGACGGTCTCGAAGACGCGGATGCTTTCATAGTTGCTACAGCCAGATCCCTCGCGCGCTTTTCTCCACGAGTCGGCGAAGGCCACATGAGAGACCTTCTTCCTGCAACAGTCGCAATTCGCAGACTGGCCACAAACGGCAAAAGGGGTTCCACGGCGAGCGTTCCAAAAATATACATAACCGTTCCCCAGGCCGTTGCCGTGTTCACATTGTCTCTGGGGAGATCCGTTGGAACCTTCCTCCGGCGGCCACCAGGCACACTCCATAGGCGCGTCGGACACAAGCTTCTTTGCGAACGCGGTCTTCGCGTTAGCCTCCCAGGAGGGAGAGAGAACCGATGTGGGCCGACGACTGCCCAGCCGAACGTCATCGTCGCCTACCGCGGACAGACAGAGACCGTCGCTGCGTGAGGAAGAATACATCGGCTGCTGAAGACGACGACGCACGACGGTGACGCACGACGCCAACGCCGACGCCGACGACGACTAGGACGACGACAGCTGCCGACGACGACTGAAGACGACGACGACTGACGACGACACATGACGACACATGACAACACACGACGAACACGACCGAAGTGCGAGAGCAACGACCGGCGACGACGACTGTTAGCCACTGCCACCGACGACCGAAATCGACGGCAGGCCATGACGACTGATTGCAATGACGGCGACCATCACTGACGGAATGTATGACCGACGACAGCTCTGACGACGATGAGTCCTCGTAGAGCCCGACGGCGCGCGAGCCCGGCGATGCCTCAGCGGATACCCCGACATCCGCCGATGTGTTTTTTCAGTGCGCGGCCTCAGGCGTCCCGACCCCTTCCCTGGGACAGCCTCCCGCCCCGGCTCCGTTTCTGAGGACCCAGGGGCCCGAGAAAGGAGGGCCCCTGGAGGCCGAGCTCGAGCAAAATCGCCTGGACTGAGGTAGGGCGACGCAATCTATACATATCCACTGCTCCCTGGCCAGGCCCATCCTGAACACAGCAGCTGTGTAATACGCCACGCCCTCCTGGTTTGGCCGGGAGGGCGTATACACAGCTCCTGGGTTCAGGATGGGCCTGGCCAGGGAGCAGTGGATATGTACGGCAGGTCCGTGTCGTGTCGACCCTGGCGCTGGTTTCTGACACCGCGCTGGATCGTTCAACCTTGAACGATCGGCCGCTGCCGCAACGTCCAATCGTTCCACATCGAGCGATTCTGGGTCGCCGGCGGCGTTCAACCTTGAACGCCCGCGCTGGGGTCGCCGCCGGTCGACACGACGCGAACCTACCGTATAGAGTTCGTCCCCCGACTGAGGGCAGTCACATCGTCGGAGATCTGGGCACGGTCGGGAGCGTGTGCCGAGCGTGCCCCATGCGGCGGCCCCGGCGAGGCGCGGTGCCCCGAGAGCGGCCCGCGCGCCGCCCCGCTCGGCGGGGCTCGGGGCGTCGACGCCGGGGAGCCGGGGGCGTGGACGGCGCGTCGCGCCGAAACGATTGCAAAAAAAAAACCAAGGATTGCAAAAAAAAACCAGGATTGCCAAAAAAACCCAAGGATTGCGAGAAGGACTGCAAAAAGGACTGCAAAAAAAACCCTTCGTGCGATTGCAAAAAAACCGAAGGATTGCAAAACAAACAGGATTGCAATCCTTCGTGCGGGCCAGGACCGCCGGAGGGACGCGCTGGCCAGAAGTTCCCCGCCGTGTGTGCGGACAGCTGGCGTGAGGAGAAGGAGGCCTGCGGGAAACGGGTCCTGGCACCCCGGGGCCTCGCCTCCGAGACCAGCTCTTCGTCCCAGCCGCGTGCTGACAGCCCTGGGGCCCGGCGAGGGCCCGGGTGAGCCAACTTATCTTGCTTCGAACGATCCTCATCGAAACGTTCGGCGTTTGTTCCCGAGTCTGGTGCTGTTTGATACTGTGGCCAGCCTGACATCGGCACGCATGTCGCGTTTGATGCGACGCCGTTACTCGGTCGCTGCTGAATTATACTCTATCATTTTATGTTCCCTCATGTTCTGTAATATCCATAGATGGTTGATTCCTGTCGCCAGCCTCGGCTTGCATGTTGCGTGTGGTAGGGCGCCGTTAATCGGTCGCTGCTGTACTCTACAGTCTTCGGCTATGATATGTTCACTTGTCTTCGATGATATAACTAAATCTAATACGCTCTGTTATGTTCTCGACAGGCTGGAGCTACGTCGTGCGTTGATACGTGGTCCGATCGGTCGTTGCTGCGCCACTTGTTCCTGTGGTCAGCATAACCTCGGCGCGCACGTCGCGTTCGATCGGGCATCGGCAATTGGTCGCTGATGTGTTCTTCTTTGCTATGTCCAACAATGTCCTATCTTGGACGATTCGAATCTAAAGCTACTACGCTGTGTTATGGTATGCTCTCTTCTGTTAGGGTTTGCTACCACCTGTCCTGCTGTAAGTGTTACGTTCAGACCTGTTTTTGAATCTACACCACAAAATTATGACATGCCATGTGGCAGTATCGTAGTTCGTTTTTTTGACAGGGCACACGTCGATGAAAACTGCCAGCTTCCCGACAGGTGGGAAGGGGGCCACCTAAAACTGGTTGGTGAGAAGGAACAAAAACAGGGAGAGTGAGCAGCGTGCTTGCCAAACCGGCTGCCACACACGATCAACGCTGCTTGAAACCAGGGCGAGGCCCAGAAGCAAAAAGCCGCTGGCGAGAAAGGCAGAGGGGAGGAGGACAATGAACATCCATCGCCAAGGTACGGCAATATGCACGGTCGCAACCGTAGTAGTGTTATGACCATGTCGCAGTACCTAGTATGTATGCTATGGTATGTGTGCTTACGTTTGGGCTGTGTCTTCCACACCAAAGCTGCACATGATCTTCGATGGTTATCTGATCGTACAACTGTATATACCATATGATTGACTGTTCTGGTATTCTGACATTGCACTCTTATTATGTTATTGCAATCCTAAAGATGTTCCGTATTCCAGTATTCTTCAAAATATCACTGGTTGGAAGCATGCTGCAATCATGGTGTCGTTTGTTCAATGGGTGGCAATGGAATCAATTGACGTGCGATTCTGTTGTTGTCTAACATCTGCCACCGTGCCGCTGGGCACGGAGTGGGCGTGCCCTCAGGTCATCTCGCTACCCCTCTGAGCCTCAACTTCGCTCCTGAAACAAATTGTTAAGGGGTTCGGAGCCCCTCGGCCCAAATCTCTTGGGGCGTGCCGCATGGCCCCTGAGCTCCCCCGAGTGGTGTCGCATGAATTGTTCGGGCCCAAGGGGGCCCCAAGACGGGCCGAGAGGGCCCCAACGAGCTCCCAAAACGGTCCGAGAAGGCCCCGAGTCGCCGATCGCTCCAACACGCTCAAGATGGCCCCCAGACGCCCAAGACGCCCAAACAAGAGAACCTAATTTTCCAGCATCATTGATTCCCCCACATGCTTGCAAGATTTTGGTGTTCTCGCCGTTTCGGCTTCCCGACGCTCCCAGACGGCCCGAGAGGCCCCCAACACCGCCCCAAGACTGCCCAAGAGGCCCCCCCGAGGGCCTCAAAACTGGCAAAGAGGGCCCCAAGACAACCCCTGAGGCGCCCAACACGTCCCAAAAAGGCCCCTCGACGGCACCGAAAGGGGCCCAAAGGAGGGAAGACGAACCGAGCATCCGAGCCTTCTGCTCCAAGGATCCCCCAGGAGGCCCCAAGAGGCGCCCAGGAGGCTCCAAGAGAACCCCAGGATGTCCCCCCAAAGGCCACCAGAGGCCCCCAAGAGGCCCAAAAGAGGCTCCAAGATGCATCCCAACCGCCCCCCAATAGACGCCCAAACTGCCTCCACGAGGCCCCCGAAAAGCCTCCCACGAGACCCAAACGAACATCAAATACGCTTCATACCCACAACCCAGGCACGGTTGCGAGATAAGCCGAAGGCAATTCGATACTATACCTCTCTCATGTTGCTAGGACGTGTGCTTCAACGATGTTGCATCATACAATCGGTTATGCCCTGGTCTGTCACATGCGTTTAGCCTTTAGTTTGTATTATCCTGTGATGCGTTCTGCTAGGTTATGACATTTCCCATGGACAGTCTTGCGCCCTAACATGTAAAAGCGTAGTCGTTGTCGTAATGATAACAGTAGGACAACACATTAGGTATCATTTGTTCTGTTTTGCTACGATTTGTTATGTCATGTCCCGCTCTGTCGCAGTATGACGTGTATGGTAGGATCTGGTCGGTCATGCGGTGTTGTGAAATGGTACGGCCTGGCATACCACACTCTGTGATGTTATGATACCATACGGCATGATATGCTGCGTTATGTTCTGTCCCGTTCACTATAGTGTGTTGGTGGGAAACGGTATGATACCCATATCCAACTCTGGAGCAACCTTGTCGGAATTTGGGGGGTGAGTCCGACGTGAAACGGAGACCCCCCCTACCGGGAAATCGATTTCGGTTTCGGGTTCGTGTCGTGCGTGCCGTGCGTGCGTGCGGGCGAGGCGAAGCTGCGTGGGCGGGCGAAAGGAAATCCTCCTGTGGCTGGGCCGCGGCCGGACCAAATGTAACTCCTCCAGCGGCCGGTGCCCCGCGGTGTCCCGCCGGTGTCCCGAAATCCTCCTGTGGCTGGGCCGCGGCCGGACCAAATGAAACTCCTCCAGCGGCCGGTGCCCCGCGGTGTCCCGCCGGTCTCCCGCGGTGCCCCGCCTGTCTCCCGCGGCCCGCGGGTCGCGGGTATGCCGAAATCCTCCTGTGGCTGGGCCGCGGCCGGACCAAATGTAACTCCTCCGGCGGCCGGTGCCGCGCGGTGTCCCGCTGGTGTCCCGCTGGTGTCCCGAAATCCTCCTGTGGCTGGGCCGTGGCCGGACCAAATGTAACTCCTCCAGCGGCCGGTGCCGCGCGGTGTCCCGCCCATGTCCCGCTGGTGTCCCGTGGTGTCCCGTGGTGTCCAGTGGTGTCCCGTTGAGTGAGATCGATCTTGAGATCGATAGTGAGATCGATGTGGTACCCCGAGGTGTCCCGTGGTGTCCCGTTGAGTGAGACCGATAGTTAAATCGATAGTGAGATCGACAAGTGTCCCGTGGTGTCCCGTGGTGACCTGTTGAGTGAGATCGATAGTGAGTTCAATACTGAGATCGATGTGGTGCCCCGAGGTGTCCCGTGGTGTCCCGTGGTGTCCCGCTGAGTGAGATCGATAGTGATATCGATATGGAGATCGATAGTGAGATCGACAGGTGTCCCGGGGTGTCTCGTGGTGTCCCGTTGAGTGAGATCGATAGTGAGATCGGTCGTGAGATCGATGTGATACCCCGATGTGTCCCGTGGTGTCCTATGGTGTCCCGCTGAGTGAGACCCGATAATGAGGTCGACAAATGTCCCGTGGTGTCCCGTGGTGTCCCGCTGAGTGAGATCGATAGTGAGATCGATAGAGTCAGATGTTGGTTCCCCCCCCCTCTCCCCCCCCACAACCTCCTTATCACCCGAAGGGTGGTCGTATAGGTATATTCTGGTATACGCAATACCGTGGTGATAATGGTACTAGAGCAATCCTGGTGTGCTGAGCTATGTCTATTATGCTGTACTCTGTCATGCCCAGATCTGTCACAGTAGACTGTTCCATGTTAAACCATGGTCTGATGTTATGTGCCGCTGTGTTGTGGTTTGCTTTGTTTTGGCATGCGGTGTTACGTTCTGAACTGCAATATTGCGGTATGCAGTGATCTGCCACGCGCTGCTCATCATACTATGGCTTGCATACTATGTCACTGGAGCAAGCTACGTGTATATATTACTACTTATACGTTACAACGCAACTGGCGCCGTGGGGAAGTCATTGCTGCACATGCGAAATGATGTAATGTCGTGCTCGCCCACGGTAGACAATATCATGCTCTGGCCTGGTATAATATGAACTGCAATGTTTTGGTATGGTGCCTCATGTGCTGCTAGGATGTAATGCTCTGCTATGCCATTGTATGGTATGATATGTTCGATTATGTCATTATGCAGTCTCGTTTGTTCTGGTCGATCTATTGTGGTACACTCGTTACGCTATACGATGCGATGCTCTGTGCTGTACGGCGTAACGTTGTGACACCTTCCCCTCGGGGATGCTTGGTATGCACGGTGAGGGCGCGAGGCAAGATACGCAGTGACCGCCGGGATCCTGTGGGGTTTGGCGACCGCGGTCTGGAGTCGCCATTCGTCGAAGACGCGAGGCGGGATACTCAGGGACCGCGGGGATTCTGTGGGCTGTGCAGGCGGGGGCTCTTTTCTGAAAACCATGCAGCCTCAACCTGCTGGTTGGGGATAACATTGTCGAAGAACCTGAGGACCCGTTTTCCTTCGGACCGGTACCCTTCATGGCCAGATGTGTGCTCCGCCCACGAATCGAGTGGGGGGTCGACTACAGAATTGATTTACCCAAAACAATGGTTTGTTCGTCGAATCCACGAAACATGCGTGCATTGCTCGCAGACCTACGAACATTATGCGCATGTCTTGTACCTCCGACGATCAAACCAATGCTGGGGTACATTAATGTTGTAGTCGATCTCCTGCCCGAACGAACCTCCGAGCTCGGCCGGCGCGGCGCCGCCGACCACGCGGCGGCGGCCGTGGCCGCTGCCGCGGAGCCTTGGGAGCCCCCAAACCAGGTGGTGAGATATCAGGTGTGACCTGGAATACGCCAAATAGGGACACGAGCTCTAGACACCGACGCTTTTTCCGACCCTGCGATGAAATTCGCACAGGATCGCTGATCCTGGTGTATACGGGCATCCTGGTGTATACATGTTGTTTCCCTCGGAGTACGGGGGAGAAGCATACACCACACCACCCCGACGTCGTCCGCGACCCTCAACAAGTCGTGGAATTAAGACAACACCCGCCACTGGTAATGTATACCGTCGGGGCGTTGGCCTAAGGAACCCTAAATAAGGAACGAGGCCCCTTGTCTCCAGAAGTTCAACCTCGATTTCCTATGGAAAACCCAAGGACAACCCGAGGCAAACTTTGAAACAATCAAGGAACACCGAGCCCCTCCCCAACGAAAAGGGTTCCTTCTTCAGCGCCCCGACTGTATATGTGTTCCAGCTCCCGACAAAAAATCACCGCGGAGTTCTGGGACCCAGGGTCGCCGACGGGCCCTCGTGCCTCCTGGACCCACCAGCGCTCGGGGCACCCTCGTAAAGCCACGCGGGCCTTCCGAGCGGGTGGTGACACCAAATCGCCCGAGGCTCACCGCCGGGCGTTGCCACCACACCGCGTCTGGGGATTGCCAACACCTGGCGACCACTCGTCCACGCACTCGCGGGCCATGCCGTGCGGGCAATAGCTATATCCACATCCAGTGCGTCTTGGCGCTTTGGGCTTTCTTCCCCAGAAACCGGAGGCGCACTGGATATGGATAAAAATCTTGCCCCAGGTTTGATTTTTATCCATATCCAGTGCGCCTCGGCCTTGCGGCACCCCTTTTCAAAAAGTCCACGACGCTCTGGATATGGATATAAATATTGCCCGCATGCCGGTGAGGCGATACAAGACGTGGGCCGCCTGGCGGAACTCGGTGAGGTCCGAGTTCTCCAGGTCATCACCTCCCTCGCCCATCTTTGGGAGAGAACCCGAGATTACGGCTGCTCGGGTCCCCAAGTTCGGCGACTCCGAAAGGTGCGGTTTGCAAAAGGTGTGGTTTACAACCGGCACCCTGGGGGACACCCTGGGGGGCGGGCGGGGACCTCGATCGAGCTCTCCGCCGCGCCCCGAGGAGGCCTGACGAGGGCAGCGCCGTGCCCCGAGGCCCCAACGGCGCCGATCGCCAACCACACCCCGGCGGAACCACCCCCCTTGTGATCGCCGACATGTGCGGAGGTGTCGCCGGGTGTGGTCACCATCAAATCTGGGGGCTTACAACAGGGCTAGGATCGGGATAAATCGCTCCAGAGCGTTCCGGAGCGCTCTCGGAGCGTTCCGGAACGCTCATGGAGCGGCCGCGGCGCCCGATACATCCTCCAAACCCGCCGATTCTCAGAGATTTCGAGTTACCCCGATCCGATTTTGTCCCGATCTTTCAGGAGGGGAAAAAACACACAGACACAATTAATCGGCGATTCCCAGAAAATATGGGAAAATATGGGAAGTGGGGGGGAAGACAAAAACCCAGAAAATATGGTAAAGTATGGGGGACATTTTTATTTGTGTGTATTTATTTGTGTGTCCCAATTCCCCTTCAATCTTCGCGTTGTTTTAGGGCTACCCAGGAGCCGGCGAGCAGAGCGGCCAGGCGTGCCGGGAGCGGGCGCCGGCCCGCGCAGCAGGGGGGCGGAGCGGCCTCGGGGCGCGCGGCGCAGGCCGAGGGCCGAGGGGCCCGGAGGGTCCGAGGGGAAGTGCTCGAAGGTTTTCGGACGTTGAGGAGGTGGAGGGGGAGAAGGGGGAGAAGGAGGAGGGGGAGGAGGAGGAGGAGGAGGAGGAGGAGGAGGAGGAGGAGGAGGAGGAGGAGGAGGAGGAGGAGGAGGGGGCGGAGCAGGAGAGGGGGGAAGCAGGGGAGGAAGAGGAAGAGGAAGAGGAGCGGAGGAGGATGAGGATGAGGATGAGGATGAGGATGAGGATGATGATGATGATGATGATGATGATGATGATGATGATGATGATGATGATGATGATGATGATGATGATGATGATGATGATGATGATAAGGAGGAGGAGGAGGAGGAGGAGGAGGAGGAGGAGGAGGACGAGAGTCTGAAGGGTCGAAAGGGTCCGATGGGGATTCTTTAAAGTTTTCGAGCGTGTGCGAGCGTTTTCGGAACTGTGACAATCCTCATAGGTGTCGAGGCCTCGGGCGGTCTCCATCAGCTCCGCCTCGTCGAGAGCATTCCTGGGGCGAGCGGCGGAGGCCCGAGTGATGGCCCAAAAACCATGGCGCGGTCGAGGGCCGGAAGGTCCAGGGGCCGAGGGCTCGAGGGTCCATGAGATCTGGGCGTTGGCGTTGGCGTCGGCGATCACGGTTTGGGGCCTCACTGAACGATCCGCGTGAACAAATGCCGCAGGAGCACTGGGTCTGCAAGGCCGAGGTCGCGATTCTTCGAGACATTGCAATCTCTTGGCGACGTCGGATCTCAGGTGCGGGGCCCCAGGGTCCGGGGGTCGAGGCCCGACGGTCGAGGACCGAGCATGAAGGGCGGAGGGTCGACCATCGAGGGTGGAGGATCGAGGCACCCAAAGGTCGAGGGCTGATTTGCTCGAGGGCCGTGTGATCACCTCTGGCCCTCCGGCCGTAGCACTCCCAGTCGCGCGCGCCTCCGCCCGTGGGCTCTCAGGCCATCGCGACTGGGGAGGCGGGGGGGGGGGGGGCTCTTGCGAGAACCCCTCCCTCGGGCTACTCTCGCGCACGCCCCTGGCGTACAGCTCCCACGCCCTGTAGGCCAACAAACTGGCACTTCCCGGCCAGCCCGTCCATGTCCAGCGTGCCCTCCATCACCCCACGCATCCGCCGCGCGGCCCATGAAATGCCGCATGGGCCCTGAGTCCTGCGCAGGACACCGCTGGCGTACCCATCTTCTTGCCGTACAATATGGGTACGAGTGGGTGTCCTCTGCCGGCACGCGCGCCGTCACCCAGGCCACGAAGAGCACCTGCACATGCTCCCCCCGCCCGCGGCGCCCAGTGAACAAGCGGCGGCCGCAGCGGCACTAACTCGCGACACGGTCTCAGGCCCTCCTCCACGAGGGCTGCCAGCCAGAGCAATAAGCAGATCTGCTCCTGCGCGCGCGCTGCAGGGACCAAGACGTGGTGCCTCATCTTCGGTGCCGCCGACCTCCGCGCCGGCGGGGGGTGAGCACGCCGAGCCTCGCTCGGCAACTGGGCAGGAACACCGACAGGCACCTGGAGCAACTCTTTCTATCCTCGAACGGGAGCAACTGCCGCGGGTTCGTGTCGACACCGCGGGGATCGTTCAGCCTCGAACGAGCGGCGGCTTCTCGAGCCAACCGCCGCTGGCGCGACCAGGTCAGCTGCAGGCAGCGCCAGCAGGCTCGCACGAGCAAGGGCAGTGCGTTGCAAGAACCTGGCCCCCCAGCGCGTGAGCGTCTGCAGCTTTGCCACCGCCCGCGCGCGCCATCCCATCCCATCAAACTCGTACAGGTAGTGCCTCTCATCTGTCTTGTTTTCGCACATGCTCGGCCCAGCGCGGGGATGCGCCCAGAGTCGCGCGCACCGCGGCCGCACCCGGACCGCCTCGCGGCGCGCCGCCTCGCTGGGCTCCCCCACCTACGCATCAGCTGGGACGCCCTCGTTGCTCCAGCGGGGACGCCGATGCCCAGCACAACCAGCATACTCTGCGCACGAACTGCCCCCTCCATTGCTCCTTTCCTTGCTTCCGTGTTCCGCAAATCCCCTTCTCCTCGCACCTTCCCCCACGCGTTGAATACAGCCGGCCAGTATAGCAGGAATGCGCGATAAGGATGCAAGGGCCCTGGAAGGCCATTTCGGCGCTTTCCGAGCGGGGCTCGGCCAACAAACGTGGCCAAGGATAGACCGAGGAGGCAGAGATGCAAGGGTACCCTTGGGAATGCTGCCCGTCCTTACGGGCTGACTGTAGCCCCACAGGGTGCTCCACCGAAGGTCCCAGCGGCAGCGCCCGCGTGGCGGCGCCGCACCCGCTTCGGCATGCCCCCCAACCATCTCCCGAGCCCCATAGGGGAGCCCCACGGAAGGGGCGAACGCGCGCTCCGCCTGCGAGGAGTTCGTGTCGCGACGACCCTGGTGCTGGTCTCTGACATCGCGTGTCCGATCGCTCTCGACATTGAGCGATCGGCGACTCCCCGATCGCCAGGTCCTTCGACATAGACCGAGTCAGGGCCACCGACGGGATTCAAATTCTATGTCCGACGCTGGGGCCAACGGACTGCGCAGCACCGCCAACCATCCCACCCGACCGTTGCACGGATGGCTTCGGGCCCCAAAGCTGCGCCAGCCACCAGGAACCGACGGCCCCGGGCACCCGCCCGCCATGGGTGGAGCCGCACGGCGACGCTTCATGAAAGGTCTAGGGACGAAGGCCGAGGGTGGACGACTGAGGACCGAATTCGCCGGCCCAACGGGCCAGAGGAATGCTAAGATCTCAAGTAACTGGTAAACAGTATTTCTGGTTCGCGCGCGCGGGGCGGCCCCTGGGGGTCCCTGGATCAAAAGTACCCCGAGAGGAGCCCGGGACACGCCCGGGACACGCCCGGGACACTCCCCCAGATCCTCCCAACACGGTCCAAGAGAGGTCCGAGACGCCCGAAGATCGCTCCACGGCGCCCAAGATGGCCTCCAGACGGCCCAAGAGGTCTCCAAGATGACCCAACAAGCCTCCAAGATGCCCCAAGAGGCCTCCAGGAGCACTCCCAAGAGGGCCCCAAGAGGCAAAAATCAATGCTTTTTTCTTTGGTTTTGGACAGATTTGGGCGTTTTAACCTTTTCGGTTCCCCGACGCCCCTAAACGGCTCAAGAGGCCCCCAAGATCGCCCCAAGAGGGCCCAAGAGGCCCTCAAAAGGGCCCCAAGACGGCCCAAGACGGGTCCAAGACGGCCCCATAGGCCTCCAGGACGGCCCAAGAGGGCCCCAAGAACGCCCCCAACACGGTCCAAGAGAGGTCCGAGACGCCCGAATATCGCTCCACGACGCCCAAGATGGCCTCCGGACGGCCCAAGACGTCTCTAAGATGGCCCAAGAAGCCTCCAAGATGCCCCAAGAGGCCTCCAAGAGATCTCCCAAGAAGGCCCCAAGAGGCAAAAAACATTGTGCTTTTCCTTTGGTTTTGGACAGATTTGGGCGTTTTAACCTTTTCGGTTCCCCGACGCCCCTAAACGGCTCAAGAGGCCTCCAAGATCGCCCCAAGAGAGGGCCCCAAGACGGCCCAAGACGACTCCAAGATGGCCCCAGAGGCCTCCAGGACGGCCCAAGAGGGCCCCAAGAACGCCCCCAACACGGTCCAAGAGAGGTCCGAGACGCCCGAATATTGCTCCACGACGCCCAAGATGGCCTCCAGAGGGCCCAAGACGTCTCCAAGATGACCCAAGGAGCCTCCAAGATCCCCAGGAGGTCTCCAAGTGCATTCCCAAGAGGGCCCCGAGAGGCAAACAAACAATGCTTTTCCATAGGTTTCGGACAGAATTGGGCGTTTCAACCTTTTCGGTTCCCCGACGCCCCTAAACGGCTCAAGAGGCCTCCAAGATCGCCCCAAGAGGGCCCAAGAGGCCCCCAAGAGGGCTCCAAGACGGCCCCAGACGGCTCCAAGACGGCCCAAGAGCCCTCCAAGACGGCCCAAGAGGGCCCCAAGAACGCTACAAGAACGCCCCAAGAGGGGGTTCACGAAACAGAATTTCGAGCTCTCGGCCCTTAGAGGCCCCCGGGAAGCCCCAAGACGCCCCCACAGGCCCCAAGAGGCCCCCAAGAGGCCCTCAAGAGGCCTCAAGAGGCCTCCAAAAGGCCCTCTGGAGGCTTCCAAAAAACCCTCAGGAGGCCCCCAGGACGCCTCCAAGACTCCAGCCAGACGCGACTTGGGAAACGCGGGTCGGGGTGGTCCTCCTCTCCCGCGTTCGGCCTCCAGCCTCGAGCCTCGACCCTCCACGACGACGACGACGACGACGCCGGCGGGCGGCGGCGGCGGGCGGCGGCGGCGACGACAACGACGACAAAGGCGCTCCTCATCGCTCCTCATCCCCCTCCTCCTTCCTCCTCCTCCTCCTCCTCCTCTTCCTCCTCCTCCTCCTCTTCGTCGTCCTCCTGCTCCTCCTCCTCCTCCTCCTCCTCCTCCTCCTCCTCCTCCTCCTCCTCCTCCTCCTCCCCCCATCCAGAATGGACGACATCCGACGACAAAGGCGCCCCTCATCGCGACCACGGTGCGACATTATGGGCCGGCGGAATGAGCGAAGCGATTAAATAACTACCAAGGAACAAGGATGGAGATTCGAGGAGCGAGGGGGGTCGAGAAGGGTAGGGTCCGAAGTTCGAGGGAGAAACGAAGGTCGAGGATGGAGGTTTATGCACACGTCTTGGGCCGCATTGGGCTTCCAAAGCCCTCGCCTCTGAAGACCTCCGCAGACCCCACGAGACACAGCGCCGGAAGTCTTTCGGCGTTCGGTAGCCGCTTCTGGGGTCCAAGGGCCGCCGAAAAAAGACTCGAGGTGGTGAGGAGCCGGCCCCGTGCTGGAAGCTTGTCGAGAACTCCAGCGAGGGCCTGCGGCGGGCGACTCGAAAAGAGATGGCCGCTCGAGGTCCTGGGCCTGCCGCTGCTCAGCCACCACAACCAGCCAGCCTCACATCCACCCCTACGCCCAACGAATATAAAGTGTGGGCAGCGCCGCTCCTGCCACGGGCCCCCCCCCTGCTCCGTGGCGTTTGGGCGCTGCCCAGCGCCAGCAGGTCCGTGTCCGCTGCCGCTGCTCGTGCGCACAGGGCCTCCACCCGCACCCGATCGGGGGCGCGCAGACAACATGGACCAGCGATCCATGGATTTGGCGCGCGGCCGCCAGTTCCACGGATCGGGGGAGGTGCCCTCCCCAAAGTGCGGCCGGTGCCGCCTCGGTTCGGCGGTGGAAGCCCGCGGTTTCCCATGGAAGCGGGCCCCGTCGCTATGATCCACGCCCCCCTTGATCCATGTTCGCGATCGCCTGGCGCATCCGACCCAGCCGTGCAGACAGGGCAGGGTGGGCGCACCAGACGCGCGGTGCCCGCCGTGGCCCGCTTGCTCGCCCGGCGGGTGCCGCCGCCGCCGCCGCTGCTCCCCTGCACTGCTGCCGCTGCTCCTCCCTCCCGTCCTCGCGGTCCCCCCCCTCTCCTCCTCCCTCTTGCGCCGTGCCCCCTCCCTGCCACCCTCCCCTCCCCTCCCCCCCCTCCTCCTGGTCCTCCACCCGCCACCTCCCTCCCGTCTCTCTCCCCCCTCCCCCTCCCCCCTCCCTGCCCCCCCCCACCCCCCGCGGGCGGATGCTGCTCCCTCTCCGCCCCGCTGCTGTTTCCCCCCGCCCCTCCCCCTCCTCGCCGACCCCGACGACGACGGGGGCCACGGCCGCAGCGGCGGCGGCGGCGGCGGCGACGACCCCCCCATCGCGGGGGGCCTCCGCCCCGCGGGCCATCGCGGAGCTGCCCGCCATGCGCACCGACGGTCGCCCGGGGAACGCGTGCGCTTGGCTCCCGGACTCTCGGGCCGAAGCGGGGGCGGGGGCGAGCGAGCGAGGGGGGGGGGGCTACTTGGGGTATGTGAGGAGGGAGGAGGCAGAGGCGAAGGGGGCGAGCGAGGGGGGGGGGGGGCTACTTGGGGTACGTGAGGAGGGAGGAGGCAGAGGCGAAGGGGGCGAGCGAGGGGGGGGGGCTACTTGGAGTTTTTGAGGGGGGAGGCAGGGGCGAAGG